AATGAATGACTGTATATATATATATATATTTATATATATATATATATATAAAACTGGAAATACTGTAGATAAAATACTTTGTTCTTCTCTTAAAGAGAAGTTTGTTTTCTTTTTGAAACAACATTTTGATAGGATTGAATTTGTAGATGGTGAGACAGGCAGTCCTTGCTTAATAATGGTATTTGGGATCAGAATTTCAATCATTAAATGATGAGGTTGCAAATAATGACATTATGTGACTGCACTGCTTAACAATGGTAGTTCTGGCAATCTTTGGTTACTATCGTTAAGTAATTTTATCTCCTACAATTTATGATTTCTTGCTAGCTTTCTCATTAACTTTGCTTGTGGGAAGCTGGTAGGAAAGATTGCAAATTGCTAACATGGGACCAGGGAATGCTGCAATGGTTGGAAACCATGCCACTACGTAACAGCTGGATTGCAGGGATGGGTTGCTGCCAGCATTACTGCCAGTTTGGTGCGTGCACAGTTGCCTATAAATAGGTCTGTGCATGCGCATAACGTTAAAAACTAAAAATAATGCCGCGCCGACCAGGGAACCGGTTCAGAGACATGGCAGGCCTGGGTCACTGCCGGTTCTGGCGATGCTGGCCAGCAAACCACTACCGGTTTGGCCGAACCAGTAGGAACCCACCTCTGATGGCTTGTGATCATGTGATTACACTGCAATAGCCAGAACACTGCAATAGCAGAACTTCTAGGACTAGTCATAAATACCACTCATTTAGTACTATTGCAAGTTTGAACAGTCGCTAAATGAATGGTCGTTAAACAAGGACCATTTGTAATAATTATCAGATTCTATATCGGGAAAGAAAGGAATATAATGAGTCATGAAGAGAGAGATATTAAACAATAATTCTGAATTTAGAAATATACCATAAATAAGGGATAATACTAAACTGTATTCAGCAATAAAGCATTGCTTTGGTCTCTGACTTTGAATTAGGTTAAACCAATATAGTGGTATTTCGGTACTTATTGTTAATTTATTCCGGAAGTTTCGATAAATACCAAAAACAATGAGTACCAAAGACATTTTTTCCATAAGGAGTAATGTAGTGAGTCACAAGGTAGCTGACACCGACAAGCTCTAGCCCAAACAAACAATGACAAAATTCTAGGACAAACTTTTTATATCAAAATGCATTGAGTAGCAAATTCGATGAGTTTCAAAGCACTTGAGTACCAAGGTATATAAATAGAACTAGTCTTTAAGGTAAACCTCCTGATTTGTGGTAGAAGCTACACAATTCTTTTTTTAAGGCCCTTTTAATTCCCATAGTCTCCAAATATATCTGCTTTTCTTAAATTCTGTAAATTGCAGATCCTGGCTGGTTACTTTCCAGCAGTTATTCCAGTATCTAATTTCACATTGGGGAGTTCGTTCAAACACATAAAGTTGTGTTCACTGACTTCCATTTACCACAAGTGCAACAAAAGCCAGGTATGCAGCTTTGAGAGATGAAATTTAGTTGTGCCCAAATAGCCAGCACTGTTTTCTGTTTTCTCTGTTACAGAAGCCAAAATGCCAGTAAATATCTGCAAACCTAACCCCTGCATGAATTCTGGAATTTGTATCCCTAAAAATGACAATTACTGGTGTCAGTGCCAAGGCTGGGAAGGATTTCATTGTGAAAACAGTATGTATTGCTTTGATCAGCAGGCATTTTTCTTAGAACTTTAATGCCATCTTAATTATTTATTTGATCTCATTCTCAATCCAATCACACATAAAAATTAAGGAAACCCTCTGGGAAAATAGGAAATGGGTTTTTATTTCTAAACATTTCTAATGTTTTTCATTTAACATTCACCTTACTTTATTTATTATCCCTTTGGCCTTATCAAAATGCAGAGCTCCAGACACAAATTATTAGTAAAATCTGATAAAAATAATTTAAAATGGAATTGGATAAAATGCAATTTAAAATGAAATTGGACTAAAGTACAATAATTTAATATATAAATAAATAAAATATAGTAAAATTATGCTTTGGTGTCAACCCTACAAACTACCCAAATCAGTCCCACATATGCTGATTTCAAGCAAACCATTTTGCTTAAGTACTGTGCTGTGTTAGATGTTATTTTCAGATTCTGCCATACACAAGGTATATTGTGTTGATATGGGGATCCCAATGGTTTTCATTTCTAAAAGGGATATGTGGGTTTGAGGCTAAAATGTAACACCATGTTTAATGTTGCATAATAAAATAGTATAATTAATATATTCATGACAATGTTCCTTAAAGCATACATGGCTTGATTTTAATTGTATTTGTTCTGCTTAGATCTTGCTGGCTTTATTCTAAAAGAGTAGATGTGCTAACTTAATAACGATATAAAACACCAACAATTGGCTGGTTTTCATTTAGTTTTGCTGAGCAGCAGAATTTCTACAAATGCATCTGGCAAACAGTTTGTTCTGTCTGTGAAGAATACATCAACCATCTGCTTTGAAGAGCCTGGGAAACTCAAGGGCATCTCTTAGGAGGTGACTGACAATTGAAAGCTGATCATTCTGAACATTAGTTTCATACTGGCTCTGCAATATTATTCTAGTAAAAGTGGTTCTTAATATTTTAAAGACTTGATCACAAAAGATCTCAGTATGAAAAACATAGCTCATGTTCACCTGAAGTTATGTGGGACCCTTAGTGCTTTTTGAGCTTAGTTGTTTTCTTATAGATTTATTACCCAACAAGGTAACATCATCAGTGCACTCAGAGAGCACCAAGGGCCACTGAGCTACACATATTCTCTTCTGTTGGAATTCATGTCTCTCTAAAGTTCTTTTAAGGCTTTTAATAGACCTTGTAATGCAGTAGTGGGATACGATCTGTGTGCCGTGGTACGGGCGTACCGGTGCCTGCTGGGGGTACCGGGTACCATTCCGGTATGATGCTCCACCCACCCTCCTTGCCTGTATTTGAGCCAATCGGTGCTTACGCACATGGAGCATATGGTGCCTGCACGGCACTCCACTAAGCAACTGGAGCATTGCGGAGTTGCCCTGAAACTTCACAGGTGGTAAGTTCGCACGCATGCACTGCACGCGTGTTGCGCCTGTGCATGTGGTGGATGCCTAGTCCCATTGCACCATACCGGTTGCACCAGGATCCGGTACCCACCACTGTTGTAATGTCACCTATATTTTGTTAATAAATTAATTAGGTTGTGAATGCATAAGTACTTGGTTGTGAGAACTAATAATTAGGTTTACTTTTCCTTTTTTAAAATACAGGAATTCGAAGCAGGGACACTTCACAATCATGGAAACATCCTGCAATGATCCATACTCATTTAAATTGAGGTGGTTGGGGCAGCTATACAGAATTCATCAGTATTAAAAGAAGAAGACGACGACGACACATGGACTAGATGCACTAAAATGGACAAAAGAACTTTTGCCTTTAGTTACTGAAAGGGAAGCGAAATATACATTTGCAAGCAGTACGCTGTTTCTAAGCTCAAAAGTTTTGCACAAAAGTATCTTATTGTAATTGAAAATAAGGTGACTAATAATCTAGCATATTTTATATTGCATATTTATGTTTGATATACAATTTTTTCATCATTACCTCTATATAATGATTGCCATAAATCAAAGGTTTAACTGTAGTACAACTTGACAAACTCTGACATGGCTTACAAAAGCTACACTTATGTTGCTAGATATGACTATAACAAGTGAGAAGCTTTCATACACAATAGTAACCCAGATTTGAACACTGAAGGCTGATTTTGTTAAACCTGAGTTTATTTCCAAATATACAGGATGAATTCAATTAAGGCACATTTTAGCCCTTTAATGACTTCCAGATCTACTGGTTTATATACAATGTTATATATTGGCAAATTCACCAAAGATAATGACTTGTATGCATGGTTTTACATGGCTGGTCTATTCTTTCCTCCCAATTCCAACTGCAAATCCTTTACTTTTTGTCCTTTAATTAGGGAGTTATATCCCCTTGACCAAAGCAGGAATAAAATATACTCCCATTTCCAACCATTTTTGGCATTTTGGGGCCATGCCAAGTTTACATTAACTGCAAAAGGAAGTGGTTCTTATGTCCTGCTCTTATAGTTTCATTAATTAAGTCCTATGCTTTTATAGAAAGTATCATCTGCCATCTAATCAATCAGAGAAGAAGGATTGTAGTGTCCTATGGATAAACAAGATAAACAAGAGTTTGCTTTGTGTTATAATGGAAAAGATTGTTTAGTGCTGGCATGCTGAAATTGCAGCTAAGAGAACAGATATTAACGGTACAACATTGCTGTAGTTCAAACAGAAACATACACGAGAAGCAAACCAGCTGCCAAATGTGTGAATTTACTGATTATGCTTCAATTCGTGAAACGAACTATTCATCTATTCTTAATAATCTTTTCTTTCTTTTGCTTATGATCTTTTATCTCCAAGGTAACAAATAAATTGCATTCTTTGTTATATCACATCCTATAATAGCATTCTGGTGGAGGAAAAGGAAGCAGAATGCATAGTTAATGATACTCATAATAGGTATTTTATGTTTAAGTTCTCATATCCAAACCAAAGTGCCTTTATACAGCTTTGAATTGTAACTGTTATGCTATCTTGAAATTTATTTTAAAATATAAACTAGGTATACCATGTCTTGGTTGTGACAACCACTAATTCCAGCAAAGAGATAAATACAGAAGACTATTTCTATGTTGCTATCTAGAGATCATCTTTTTTTAGCTCAAATATGATCTTCCTAGATTCTATAAATGCTTCCACAATTGAAGATAAAGAAACAACTTTAACTGTACAGAATTATAGTTAAAGACCAAAAGCAGAATTTATAGAAGTTATTATGAGAACTCTGAGATGATTATCTAATCCAGCTTTTTTTGTTATATAGCAATCCAAAACTGATTTGAAGTAACTCTCAAACATAAAAATATGGATATAGCACCATTTCACTGCAATTGATATATAAAATACACTGTCTGCAAAGCCAGAGATGGTAGAGTACAGTGGAATGGTGGTAACTTTGATAGACACATTCTCTATAAATTTGTCCCCATTTTAAAAATCATCTAAGTTGCTGCCTTCCACACTCATCCAAAATTATAGTAAATCAATCCATTTTATTTATTATGGTTAGCAAATAAACATGAGTTTAAAAAAGGGAAAAAAGAAAGTCAGAATAAATAATCCTGTATAAAAATCCCTCTGAAATGTTACTGTGAGTTCCATGCCAAAGTTGTGAGATGCTAAATTACAAAATTCTCTAACATTGTAGGTTATATAAAAACCTAATCAGTGAGAAGGTATTCAACATGGTAACTGGCTGATTCTCCAGGTATTTCTGGTAGAAGGGAAAAAATAGGATCCTGATGCAATGTTGCATTAAACTGCAGTAAAAAAGAACATACATTATTGATTCTACTTCTTGTGTGTTACAAGAGTAGAAATGGAGAACCACAGGGAGTCTATAATATTTCTCCTTAACAGTGCTGAAAGAACAGCTTTGATAGTTGAAGTAGGATCAGGGAGAAAATGTAGGGTAACTGTGCCTCTTTGATTCATTCCTTTTGGTACATAGAAAAAGATGGGAAAATATCATTGGAAGCAGAGTACAGCCCAGTGGGCTGGTAGATGAGCTTAAGACAATAATTGAATATTACTGACCAGATCTTTACTCTGATCTGCCTTCCCCAAGCCTAAGAGATGCATTTGAGATGCATTTGAAGTATCAAGCTTCAAAAATTATTTTTAGAATCTTGATTGAATAGATCCCAAGAGATTAAAGCTAGAATATGATCCCTTAGTTGCCCCAGTTAAAAGTTGTGCTAAAGCTTTTGCCAGATAAAATGTAGTGACTACAGTACCAGATTCCCTAATTTCACAAGTTAAGAAAGGCTCATTTAGTGAGAAACATATAAATAGGGAATTGGAGCAGTGATAGGAAAGGATGGAGAGAAATACTGTATTAGGAACATTATTTGGCAAGAAATTCCTCAGGAATTATATATCTGGAAGGCAAGTTATTTTGTAACTGCTACCAATCTATTTTAGAGCTCCCTAGATAATAGTTTGCTATCTAGCCTTGAAATCTTATATGTGTCTGCTCCAAAGTAAATCCCATCAGTGTAGGTTTACTCATCATTAAAAGGTTTTATGATTTCAGCCTAAATTAGCTAAGCAGTGTATCCCTCTGGCAGGTTTTCTTTTATTATAGAAATAGCATTATTCATAAAATTCTGCATATATTTTTTTACAAGCAAGACAGTGAAGATTTTATATTGTTCAGAAAAGCAGCTGCTAAGCTTTTGGTGTTTTTTTCTGCTGATTCTGAAGGTGTTTCTCTTCTCTACTTATTATATTTCCCTTAATATATAGAGTCATTTTTTGCTTGAATAATCCGTTTGCAAATTAAAAACATCAGCAATTCATGTTAGTGTGTTTAATAAATATTTAACATACTGCAGTCATTTGATATGTGGATCCACTTTATGTAAGACAACATAAATGTTTTCTTAAAAAATATGCTGATGAGTGATAATAACATTAGGGTTAATTCAAAGAAGCTGGAGCTGAGAAAGCAGGTCTAAGCTCTAAGGCGACAAAAATGTATTTCTTGTAGGAATACTCATTTCATACCAATCCCCTTTGTGTCTCACCAGAAACACAGTGCTGTGGTTTCCTCCAACTGGATTCCTCAAACTTTGATTTAAAAATGTTTACATTCATGAATTGAAGCAGGTTCCTGGTATCTGAAATAAGGAGGTGGCACATTTTTTTCTCTGTTGTGTGCTGGTGTGGCAAAGAAAGCTTTCTTGTCATAGAGGTGAGGGCTGACTACTTAGAGTAGGACAGGTTAGTACAGGTTATATTGTTTCCATGGAGCCAACAAAAGGGAGCAAGATATGAGATGGGGAATAGCACTTTCCTTAATGGTTAGACTGATTCGTATTGCACCATGAAGTGCATTCCAGGTCAAAACTATGCTCATGATACTATGGTTACAGGTAGGCCGTGCTTAACAACCATTAGATTCCTTCCCCAGAAGGAATTCACGACCTGATACCTACGTTCTGACAGCCACACGTAGTCCCTGTTGTCACAGAATCACATTTAGGCGTTGAGCAACTGGCTTGCATTTTCAGTTTTTTTTCAGCATCCTGTGATCACATGATATTCATTCATTCATTCATTTTTCTGATTTCTGGCATTTACACTATTTCCATTTTCTGGTTTAAAAAATCCCCACCCTTTGTATAAAAACGATTTGTTTAATAACTGCCACATTTATTTACTGTATTTTGGGGGGGCACCTTCCCCCCTAAAAGAGCACGGAAATGTTGGTGTGTCTTATACACAGAATACAGCCATTTTTAGCCTCCTGAAGCCCTGCTACCGCATCCCGTTTTTGTGAAAAATGGGCTGTTTTTCACTGAAATGGTGTTTTTGCCTTCCCCCATCCCCCAGAAGCACTCTGCAGGCTTCAGCAATACTGGGGGAATGGAAAAATGCCCCCGTTTTGGTGAAAATGGTGTTTTTGCCTTACCCCAGTCCTGCTGAAGCCTGCAGAGTGCTTCTGGGAGCCAGGGAAGACAAACACTTTTTTTTCTTACTTACATCTTCGAAATCTTGGTGCGTCTTATAGTCTGAAAAATACAGTAACCATCATTGCTTTGGCTTCACTACTACTGCAAGAAAGTCATAAAATCGGATGTAGTCACATGGTAGGCTACTTAACAATGATTTTAACTCCCAGGATACCTCAGCCAACTTAGTTTAACTTCAATTCTAGAAGTTGAAGCCCTGAAATCTTAAGGTTGTCAAGGTTAAGAAACACTGAAGCTTATTCGTATTTTTTAAAAATAAGGTACAGATCACAGACACAAACATATCCAAAGGGGGAACTCTGGTTAGATTTCCAAGGGAATACCATATTTCAAAAAAGGAAAAACCCACCTGTAGGGAACACTTCTGGGTTAGCAATACAGAATATATACACACCAGATAAACTTTTCTTTCCTATCCATCCACTTCTTTTACTACATGTTTATATCCCAGGATCAATAAATGCAATTGATTTATAGAGCTCAAATCCCCCACAAATTGCATTAGATTGTTTTAAAGAACATTGAGACAAACTTTCCTCAGCTGAGCACAGAGTCCAAATTAAGGAGAAATTTAATTTGTCTTACTTTTGAAAATGTTCGTACAAATCAGATACCAACGTATAATTATACTGGAATGAAGTGCAAATTACATAGAGCATACTACAGATACTCCTTGATTTAAGACTACACCTCAAACCAGAATTTCCATTACTAAGCAAGAAGGTTGTTACGTGAATTGCACCAGAGTTTACAACCTTTCTTGGCATGGTTGTTAAAAGAATTTCATGGTCATTAAGCAAATACAGCTTTTCCCACTGACTTTGCTTGTCAAAAGCCAACAAGGAAGATTGCAAATGGCAATCATGTGAACCCAGTACTGTACAACTGTCATAAATACATGATGGTTGCCAAGTTGACCCAATTGTTGATCACATGACTGTGAAAATGCTGTGACAGTCATAAATGCAAGGACCAGTTTTAAGTTAATTTAAGTTAATTTTCATTGTAACTTTGAACCAGTCACTTAATGAATGGTTGTAAGTCAACCCGTATCAGATATTTTCTGTGTTTAATATATAAACTATAAAAAATCCATAATTTTAGGTATATATTGTGCATCTGTAATACAGTTCTTACTGGATTTGGAAAATGGTGAAAAAAAGTGAACACATCTACTTAAAAAAATAGACATTGCAGCTGGGCTACAAATATTTCTATAAATACACGATAACAAAGTTCAAAGCTACCCAACATCTGGAAAGCTTTGAAAGATTCTGGAAATGCTGTTTATAACTTTGCTGAGAACAAATCAGGAATAGTTCAATGTTTTTCATAGCTTCTAAGATTGATTCCTAGAACAGAGAATACCAATGTTTGAAGGGTTTATACTGATACATTTAATTTCAGACCCTATAATGTAACACTCTAGCAATGGATCTTTTTAGATATTTCAAATTCAGTGTGGACCAAAGGATCTTGTGATTGCTTTAGACCACATAGAATTAACTTTGAGTATTTGTTTATTTATTAGTCAAAGCGACAATTTGGCTTTTGAAGTGTTAAGTTTAAGCCCCAGAAAGTTTATCAAAACCAGTGGTGCAATTCAGCCGGTTCTATCTGGTTCGGTCAAATTGGTGGGAGGCTCCGCCCACCCACCTGGACATCATCATGTCCCGTTTTTGATGCTCTGCTCATGTGCAGAATGTCCTGCGATGCGTGGAGATGGAGCCGGTAGAGAAAGTAAGTGAATAACAACCCTGATCAGAACTGCAGGTTATAATCCTCCCCCAATTCTTCTATAGTATAGACTGATTATTAACAATGGAACTAGTGGTTATTAAACTAACTGGAAGGGAGAACTTTATAGTTGCCATCTTGGGAACAGAATTGTATCAGGCTATCACTGCCTTGAAGTATGCATTTTTAGTGTAAGGTTTTTCAGGCTACTCTGAATTAGCATTTTTCTATATTTTCTATATAATTCATGTATCTCAGGAATCCTTGAATGTGTTTATAGTCAGTAGAAGTTTGTTATTAATTCATCCTATTAAAAATGCTACAAGGGTGTCCCCTACAGGACAAGAACATATCATACCATGAACACACATAAAAAATTGTGAGGCTCCCTTAAAGTATTTTGGAATATACTAATAACTGTTCCTTGTAGAAAGTTGAGAAGTTCAACTTCGTAGGCTTACATAAAACCAGATATTCAGTGGAAACTTAGCTCAACAATGTAATAATGAAAATGAAAAACAAATGCACATTTAAAATACAGCCAACACTTTTATTTAAAAATCTGAAATGGCAACTGACTAAAAAGACACTTGTATAATAATTTGTTTTTTAAAAAAGCTAGGAACATAATAACAATTCTACAGTTATTTAAAAGAAAGCTTTGGATCTGATTTGAATTGCTGTTTTAGCTGACACCATCAGCCATGGTACTTTGGTTGAGACACACAACTTTATGGTCTGAAATGACCTATTTGAACTGAGTGGAGTAAATGAGTCAGTTGCTACTCCTCTAGTACCTTTTCTATTGATGCTTCTAGTTGTCAGGGCTTCAAAGTCTGGAGGCATTTTAACTCACTCTCACTAACACAGGGCTGTCAAACGCATGTCATCATGGTGGCGTCATGTGACATATTGGGACTTTTTCACCCCTTTGCTAAACTGGGTGGATACATGGCCAGCACATGATGCACCTGATCCATGGGCTGGGAGTTTGACAGCCCTGCTCTAACACATTGATATTTGCTTACACTAACATGTGATACAGACATCATAAAACACTGTTTACTGGCCCTGAAAGCACATATACAAGAGCAGTCTTAGGTTTCATTAATTAACTACCTGCCTCTCTTCAACTGGTTGGATCCAAGGTACTTTTTAAAAACAGTCCTGCAACCCCTTAAGTCTGCATGTTGTCTATAAAATGTCATTCTCATATACTAATACACAGCCTTAGAAAACCTTAGATAACCTTAGATGGCTACCTTAGATGGCAACCCTAAAAGATATTTTTACTTGCATATGACCTTAAACACCTGTAGCATTTACATTTGTGGTCATTCAGGGTATGAAAGAACCACACAGTTGAAGACTGCTAGAGATTTATTTCTGCTGCTAATCTCGACTTTCCATCCACTTTTTCAGACTACTTCCTGATGTAATCCAACAAGAGGTATTTGAGCTTTAGATGTCTAAGAATAAATATATGATAAGCCAGTCAAATCCTTAGATGGATTCTTAGAATTGAAATTGTATACACATATGAGCAAAGGGCTTCTGATGGATGGAGTAGCCCATATATTTAGTTCGGAAGAGAAAGAGCTCTGGCTAAGATGCTGTAAAATAATCCAGGGTAGAGCAGTAGGATTGTCACTGACTTAATGAATGCTAACCAATCAGTATAGAAACATCTATCGATATAAATATTATCTAAAGCAATGGTGTCCAACTTTAGCAACTTTAAGACCTGTGGTTGTCTGGGGAATTCTAAGCATTGAAATCCACAATGTTGCCAAAGTTGGACACTCCTGATCTAAAGTCTTGATATTTTCTTTGTGATAAATGATGCTTTTGTTTCCAAGGCAATGCAATGCTGTTGGCCCATTATAATGGGAAACGTGATGTCTGGAGTTCCTGCAACAAGCAAATAATTAATGTGGCACATCTATTCCACAGTATCATGATTGTCTGGAATGGTGCTCAGATATCAAAATCCCACTAAATCATTTCAGTACTTTCCTGACAGTAGCTTCCTAGCAATAATGTTTTCTGTTCATATATCATGAAAAATTATTCCTATTCAAGAATAAAATATAGAATCTGGTATATTTGGTGAAGAATCCATTCTAACTTTAAATGAGAATTTCTGTTGTATTTTCCTGAACTTAATAGCATTTGGTTTTTCTGTATCGAATTATACAGGGTGGAAAGGCCATACTGGTGTAATAAAATTATTTAATAAAATAAATGGCATGTTCAAATCCATGGATCATATAAGGTCATTATGCTGAGCAATAGATCACCTAATCTGAAATTAGGGCATCTGAATAAACTTGGTTTGCCAGCTGAACTTTTGAACTTGAGCGCCTAACACTTTCTCCTGTGGATGTTGTGTTTGCCAGAACAGCTGCATTTAATTGGAATTCTACAGAAGTATTATTCAAATTTGCTTCATTGGTGAAGAACACTTCTCTCCTAAAGAAATGGCTGATGTGAAGCTCAACTTTACCTCTTCTGTCTCCTATCATGCCTTGGTATGCTACAGAAATATTAAACAGGTCCAACTAAAAGTCATTTTAACGACAAATCCTAGACTGTACAGTGATAAAACACCATACTAAAAGTAGACAAAAGCTTCCTTATATACAGCAACAGTTTCAGGATACCAGTAAGGTTAGAAGTACTGTTTCCATTTGGGTTATCTGTCCTAGCTACACAGTGCAAGTCTGCTAAAAGGAGTAACAGCCTTAGTCTAAGGAAGTTCATACTGGCATCTGGCCAAGGTTCATTGTTTCTTCCAGAGAGTATGATACAGTTCCCCACTTGCCATGCTTTCTTCATCTGGACATTTTTGCTACTGGCAGTAGGCTTCTGTAGTCCACAAAGAACCAATCTGAATCTTCAGTCTTTTCTTGAGGCTAGGATTTCCTAACTAGCACCTTTCTTTTCCCATTCCTGCAAAGAAAAAAGGGAGTGCTTAATAGCTAGTGAATTTGCCATTAGTTTATGTAGTGTTTTTGTTTATTTTATTTCTGCACATAATCTACAGATCTGATATTTCCTCATGATCTACCATCCAGATGCTACTACCAATTCCAATGACCTACCAAACCTGGAATGCCAAGTGGTGGCACAGTGGTTAGAGTGCAGTACTACAGGCTACTTCAGCTGACTGCTAGCTGCAGTTCGGCAGTTCAAATTTCACCGGCTCAAGGTTGACTCACCCTTCCATCCTTCAGAGGTGGGTAAAATGAGGACCCAGATTGTGGGGGGCAATAGGCTGACTCTGTAAAACCGCTTAGAGAGGGCTGTAAAGCACTGTGAAGCGGTATATAAGTCTAACTGCTATTGCTATTGCTACTTGTTTTGCTACATAATTCCAGATGCCTTACCTTTGCTTTCTGCAAAACTGTTCCTTTCCCTGTGACCATGACAGATAAAGGGCGGTTTTTTAATGCCACTGCTGAATTGACAGGTGAATTTTCTGAGTTATTCGTAGGATTAGCAACTTTTATCTATATTTAGGGGGAGAAAAGAAAATAGTGATCACACAAACTTTACTATTTTAAATTAAATTTTGTCAGTTGCATATCAGAGTTCATGGAATCTTCAGGTTGAGGATATGTGGAGTATGGAAGTATAAATTAATGTTGCATTCGGTCTTGGCAATTTATGGAAACAACCGATTCTGGTGTTGGGCTTTCATGTAGCAAGAATGAAGCTAGAATTCTTTCCAATTTTGGCCGAAGTACTAATGAGCCATATGGGTACTGTATGTCTTACAATATCAGTGAAGCAAGAGATGTTCTTGTGAATTGAAGGCCTACACTATTAACTATTGTGTTTTTTAAAGTATGAGAAAAGATTCAATCACAGAACTCTTGCCTTACACATACAGGTGAAACTCGAAAAATTAGAATATCGTGCAAAAATTCATTTATTTCAGTAATGCAACTTAAAAGGTGAAACTAATATATGAGATAAGACACAATACATGCAAAGCAAGATAGTTCAAGCTGTGATTTGTCATAATTGTGATGATTATGGCGTACAGCTCATTAAAAGCCCAAATCCACCATCTCAGAAAATTAGAATATTACATGCAATCAATAAAACAAGGATTGTAAATAGAACAATATTGGACCTCTGAAAAGTATAAGCATGCATATGTATTCAGAACTTGGTTTGGGCCCCTCTCATCTTTCTCTTGGCAATGCCCCAAAGATTGAGAGCAACTTTTGCCAAAAGCACTAAAACGTGGTTCAATGACCATGGGATTACTGTGCTTGATTGGCCTCTCCATTCTTCCTCCATACTCTGGATCCTTGGTTTCCAAATGAGATGCAAAAATTGCTCTCATCAGAAAAGAGGACTTTGGACCACTGAGCAACAGGACTTTGGACCACTGTGCTTCATTAAGACCTGGGTCAATGCAGCTCTCTACCAGGAGATTTTGGAGCACTTCATGCTTCCTTCTGCAGACGAGCTTTATGGGGATGCTGACATCATTTTCCAGCTGCCCACACTGGCAAAAGCACCAAAACCTGGTTCAATGACCGTGGGATTACTGTGCTTGATTGGCAAGCAAACTTGCCTGACCTGAACCTCATAGAGAATCTATGGGGCATTGCCAAGAGAAAGATGAGAGACATGAGACCGAACAATGCAGAAGAGCTGAAGGCTGCTATTGAAGCATCCTGGTCTTCCATAACACCTCAGCAGTGCCACAGGCTGATAGCTTCCATGCCATGCCGCATTGAGGTAGTAATTGCTGTAAAAGGGACCCAAATCAAGTACTGAGTACATATGCATGCTTATACTTTTCAGAGGTCCGATATTGTTTTATGTACAATCCTTGTTTTATTGATTGCATGTAATATTCTAATTTTCTGAGATGGTGGATTTGGGGTTTTCATGAACTGTGCGCCATAATAATCACAATTATGATAAATCATGGCTTGAACTATCTTGCTTTGCATGTAATGAGTCTTATCTCATATATTAGTTTCACCTTATTTCAGTAATGCAACTTCAGTAAGTTGCATTACTGAAATAAATAAACTTTTACAAGATATTCTAATTTTTTTGAGTTTCACCTGTATATGAACAAGTTGCTAACAGGGCATCCTACTGCTTCTCAAAGTAACAGGCTACATACTTTGGGACTTGTGTTTTCCATCTGTGTGGTATCCACTGTGGTGCCAAGTGTAACTGGACCAGACTCCGCTTTCCTGAGATTCTCTTTTGTTTCAACAAGTCTTAGTTCCAAGTCAACACGCTGATCTTCTTTTTTCTTACATTCTTCTTCTATCTCTTTTAGCTTCTGTTCCATTGTAGACAACTTAGTCTTATCTGCCAAGGGAAGAATAGGGATATAGAAAAAGTAACCAATTCCCTGTCTGTCTGTCTATCCTTATGATCTATCTTATCTATCTATGCCTCCATGGTTTTCTTTTCTGTATCTTATCCTTTCCTTCCCTTCAATTTTTTTTTTGTTATAGGACAAAAATTAAAATAATTAACATTACAGGCAATAGGACACTCTAGGCAAAGCCTTTTTACATGATAGGAATATATGGCAAGGATGGTCTTTAAGGCATCCAAATCTTAAAGCATTTACATTTTTTAAGCAACTTGAACAGATTCTAGAAAATCAAACTAGGAGTGCAGATTAGCAAAATAGACGTAAAGTATTCTAAATGCTTTCTTCCAGTTATCATATTGACTTCAGCTTATTCCCTCAATCACTTTTCATGGGCACTCTTAGTTTAGACCATTACACACTTCCAAGAGGGAAAGGTTAGGGACAAAACCGTGGACAAAAGAAGAGCTACATATCAAATGAATCAAAATAGCATATCTGTTATTCTCTAGAAGATTATATGAAACTTTTCTTCTGAAGAAGCGACATCAAAAAGGGCACAAGCCTGCTGGTAACTCAGCCATCATCCAGCAGCCTCATCAAAAACAATCACATCACTTAATGTTAAAATGATTTCCTGTTTTACGCCAAGCACCAGGGAATGAAAATAAGACGAGCAATGGAAGTTTACCTGAGCAGTTCATCATCATCTCTTTCAGTTCCCTTTTCTCTTTTCGAAGGTTTGTCAGATGAGAGCGGATTTCTTCTTTGTCTTTCTCCAAACGGTCTCTCTCCTCTGAATATCGCTTCGCTTCCGCCTCAGTTCTGTTCTTGCCTAGTTTTGTTTCTACAGGGGCTGTGAATTTAGTTACACTCTCTTAGTGCAGGAATCTTTCCCAGTGACAGAAACACTAATGCAATGGTTGAATACAATTGAAAAAAAGCGTGGCAGCATATCTACATTTATCTTCTGAGCTACCTGAAGTGCTCAGATTAAAAAAAAAACACCTGACCTGACTACAAAAGCCGACTGTAACCATGAGGTAGAAGAATTCTGTCCTAGTCTGTTGTCATGTGGGAAGGAGAAAGCCAGTAAATTAAGAAGGTATCAGAAAAATAATAAAATATGTCCCAAATTAGGCTGCTGTTCATTAAATCCTCGCTAGCAATTAGCCAATAGATCTACAGCAGGTTTATGACTTAACGAAGTGTGGCCATAAATAGAGATGATCCAACTGCATAATAAAAACGTGAACTAAATAGATACTATTGATGTCGCCATACTTACCTGGATTCATCACTTTGGGCTTTTCTGTTTTTTCCTTTGGTGCAGCCATAATCACAGTGGGGTCACTCTGAGGAAATATAATTTGCTGCTGTTGTGTCTGGATTTTTACTGTACCTGTCCATGGAGGTGGTACCTCATCTATGTCTGGAGGCCTCTGTTCGAGAAATAAGATGAGAAGAGCCCATTTGGTCTAGTGGTTAAGGCATCAGAAACCAGGAGACTGAGTTCTAGTCCTGCTCTAAGCATTAAAGCCAGCTGAATGTGAGGCAGTCACTCTCTTTCAACCCAACCCGCGTCACCTTCCTTTACTATATATACTATACTTCCCTATATTATAGGGAAACTGGGAGGGGAAAGTAGTACAGGTATGATTGTACAGAAAATTTGTTAAAATGAGTTAAGAACAGAGCTAATTCTAGGAATAAAACTGTCTTTCTTTAAACAAGGAACAAAATCTTTGGTGATTCTATAGATGCAGCACATTGCTGGGTCTGTAAAAATGCATTGAAAGCCTTGGATTTGTGAAAAAGAAAAGCTTTGAGTCTAGCAAGGTTATGGGTTAATCATGACAACCAGAATTGTTACACAGGATGTAAATAGTACAATGGGTAGCCCTTGGTTAATGTTTAAGGTTAACATTGAGTGGCATTGAGAGTTATTTACATCCACTCTTTAAAGTTATGGCAGTTGTAATACCCGCACAATTGTAATACCTGCACAGTCACATGATCAATATTCAGACAGTTGGCAGCCCACCTGCATTTACACCTGCAGGGACACTTCAATTCCCCCGCCTGCCTATTTCCCTTCAATCTCTGCATTTTTGGTCACCCTGAATAGCAGCACTCCTGGGAAGCAAGGGTGGATCCAGTGGCACTGGGACTAAAGTAGAAGCCTGAGACCTTCAGCAGTCGCAACTGGATGTCACTGCCCCCAAGCTTCAGCTCTGGTGCTGCTTGTGCTGCTGATGGTGCCCAACACAGAGCCCCAGCCCAATTGACCATAGCTGTCTTCTTCCTTCTGCTATTGAGGAGCACCTAGCTCGTTCCTATGAAAGGCAGCTGCTGGTTGCACAAGGCCTTCTCCCCAAGACTGCACACCCATTTGCCAAATCATGTACACCCCTCTCACGATGCTTTAGCATGGTGGAATTCGCCTTCTGAAGCATCATGAGAAGAGCGCATATGATTTGGAGAAGGGCAGGTACCATCTTCTTGTGAGTTTGTCTCACAAGTGTTCAAGAGGAGGCAGTGTCTTACCCTGCCCAGGCTTGGGGTTAGGCAGAATATCTTAGATCTCATCTAGCAACCAGTGGGATTCAGTGCTGAAGATGCAGGCTGATGGGTTTTCCGTTGCCAAGTCAATGTGCTTTATGACCAGATAGCTTAGCAACAGAAAGTATGGTCCCAATTATCATCATAACCTGAGACTACCGGTATAAGCTTTACATACAGAAGCTTGTACTAGCTTTACTTCTGATAATACTATGGGCTGATCTTACTATGATCTGACTCAGTGCTTCAAAATTTCACATTACTACAAAGGCTCCAAGCCCGCCTTCTACTGATGCTAGCTCTTTGTAACATGTACAACACCCTTTACTGTAAGTAACTCCTTTCAAACTAGGGAAAAAGACAGTAGTTTGGTTTTTCCTCTCTTTCCCTTCAGGATCATCTCATCTGTTTCATTTCATCTGTTTTGTCCCATATCCATTTCAGAACCTCCAGGAAAGGATAGAATATTATTTGTCCCCTTCACATGAGATTAGATTCTTCTGTCGCTGAGAGTGGCTATCCAAAGCCTTAAGCAGATGCATTTCCCATTACTTGCTATCTTTGCATTTCAATTTCCATCATTCCAGATGGCTATACTATTAAAAAATATAGGAAACTGCAGACCCAGCATGTGTGGAATGTGTCAGTCTAGAGAAGGGTATTGTAAGAATACATAAAACTTTATTGCTCTATAGTACCTGCTCTGGAATTTCCATTGCAATTCTGTTTAGTTCTGGCTCTTTTTGCACCATGGCTGAGTCTTTCTCAAAATCCACCGAACTCTTGCTCATAGATCTTTGTAAAGGTGGAGACACTGAAGGAGTAGACTGACCCTGCTTTGAGCCAGCTCCAGGCAACAAGGATTTCACTGGAGTGAGGTCTAGATAGACTCTGTCTTGTTCCCCTTCACATTTACTTCCATTTGGAGACACAGCTTCCTGTAAAACATGTTCAAAATAGTAATTTCACTCAAAGAAAAATATTCTGCTTAGAGTAAGAAGTGTCTATTTGACAATGTGAATTCAACACCATTACACCTTGTTTAGTAATGTGGATTTACATTCAATGAATTTATAATAGCAATCCAGCACAATTTTCTTTAAATATTACTGTCAAAAAAAATCACTTTGCAATCCTCCCTCTCCAAAAACTCAGTGATTGCTGCTTTAGAATGATAAACAAACTAGCCAATTCTGCAAAAATCTCACCATGGTAGCCTCTGGAATGTCCACATCATCATAGAGTTCTTCTTGGTTCCCCATTCTCTTTGGCAGGTTGTCAATGTAAGTGTTGGGTTCAGAGTGCTTTCTTTGCATTAAGCTGAAAGGCATCAAAGCAAACATGCTATCATAGAGTTTCACACACCATGAGCAGTGATAGCTGTTAAATCCTGATAGTTGCTGTCTATCTTTGGATGTGGCCACTGCTCCTGACTTCCATCTTCTACCAGACAGCCAAGTCTGTGCAGTCCAATGAAGCAGTTACCATGTAAGAGCCCAATGAAGCAGTATGCAAAAAAACCCCAAAACACTGGTTCCTATCAGCAAGTGGCCAAGTATGTCACACACCTGTGTAATCATGCAACAATGGGCCCACTACAGTTTTCCAAGAATTTTAATTTTGATTCCAAATGTTTCTCTCAAAATATTTGGTAGGCTTTAGGTTGGAAAGTTTAAAAAAATGGGTGGCTATAGAAATCAAATAAATAAACGAGATAAATATTGTATTTCAGATAAATACAACAATTTGCATCTTCATTCATTTGTTTTCCCCATATATTTTCCTTAAAACGGTAGGAAAATAGGATTTTCTCCCTATCCAATCTCTCTTTCTAGGGGTGGAATCTTCATTCAAAGGTTGCCTTTTGGGGACATAATCTGGAAATAATCATTCAGATATTTTTCTTACTTTTTCTTTATTATAGCAGTTTCATCTGAATGTGTCATATATGGGATATATTTACATAGTAGTGTTTATTCTTTTCCAACTGTTTCTTTGTACAAGTAGTAATAATCCTATTAAAATTTGCACTGATTATTTTTCAATTTAAAAGAAAATCTCAAACTCTTATTTAGCAGAATCAATAAATATGCTACTAAACCACCAAAAGGAAGCAGATTCTGAATACTAGCATAAGTAACTTACAATAATGAGTTTTTTGCTGCAGAGACAATGCAGGAAATTCTGTCAGCATCAACATAATCATAAGTAAGTTCCTCAGGATCCGTTTTAGAGCCAGATTCTGACAAAAGGACACCAAGCCAATGGCCCATTTCTTCAGAAGACTTTGTCTATTAAATAAATAAAAATAGAACCAACCGTTATAGCTATAGTTCAAACCTCTTCTAATCAGCGGTTTAGTAAATCTCTAATCAGTGGTCTCTACAAATCCAATGGCTTGGATCTAAAGAAAAATTGGAAGTAAGAAGAAGAAAAGACAAATTTTGTACCTTTCTCCAGTCAGCCATGTCTCAATAATATTTTCTGTAGACTCAAACTATTTGACTAAATAGAGTGAGCACACAATTTTGCTCATTGTTCAAAGAGCCCTTACTTAAGAAAGAACAGGGTTTGGATGGGAGAAAAAAAGTTAGGAAATTATGTTCTGCCCAAATCCCACGGAAAGGAATCATTCATGCTTGAAATTCAATGATTCACAGGCCCATATAAACATTTAATTATTTAAACATTTGTGAAAATTCTACATTCAAGGTAGGATTTGTCCTGAATAATAAGTGAGAGTTTAGCTGCTCAGGGGAAAAAATATGCCAGAATTTCAAAAAAACATTTCATCTAAAGATCTTTCTCTTTTTCCCCCAGAAGATGGCACCAATTTGATTTTCTAAACATTTCTGTATCAGATGGGTACTAAAATAAATACTGAAATTTGGTGGTGAAACATGAAGGAAAGCGTCACAGGCTCCTCTACAATCAAGAAAAAAAAATGCAGTAACGTGCAACATGATACCGACACCAGCTTTCTGTATTTGTATTCTAATATCAGATGTCATGCATAAGTAACAGGGTTTGTGTCAGTCTATGGATGCCTATGGAAAATATTCAGTAAGCACTATGAAAAATCTATGAGAAATGATTTTATAATTTCTAGTTGCCTTGAACTAAACTGCTGTATCCATATGGTACCTTAACTTTGTGAATGAAACTAGTTTGAAATAACTGTTGAAGTCGTCCTTATTCTGGCTCCACCATACTCAGCAATTTGACTGCTAAAAACAAAACAATACTCAGAGGCTCTGGCAATCCTACCCTTGGCTGAAAACATTCCTCCCACTACAAAATGTAGGAAATTTGTCACATTTTCCTCCTCCTACTCAAATGTTGCTGATGTCAGAGAATCTAAGATTAGCAATAAACAAAGAAAAAACAACAGCTCTGAGGGAAAGTAATAGAGGTAAGCAACTTGTTTTTCAAATCAACTTTTCTTCCAGGAGAAATTAAATGTAACTGAAGGGAGATTATAGGAGATTAAGCTTGCATTTTATTACTTGTTTATTAAAAAAAAAGGAAGTTACAAGATTAGAATTAGAAGATAAAATTTGAATTTACACTGTACATCCCCATATATAATGTAGATACTATTATACTTGGAGCAGAAGTCTAGAAAGGGAGGGAATGAATATTGCTGACAGTATTCAAATAGTTTTAATGTAAACCATGTACATAAGGTAAAGCTGCACCAGCTAACTACCTATTATATATCTTGCAATCTGTGCACAGCCTCCGAACCTTGGCCTAATTTTAGATACTCCCACAGTTGTTTTACTTTCTTGTTCCTTTTTTATCCTTCCCTCCAGCATTCTTGAGCTCACAATATCATTCCTTATAAATTTAAGTACTTTGTTTCCTATGTGTGTTTGTAGGCATGAGTAAGAGAGAGAATATGCCATTTGGAAGAGGAGCTAGGGTGGAAACAGCCAACATGGAGAAAAGAAGTGAGGCCCTCAGCCTGAACTTTTTAGAAAATTAAAAACAACAACTAAAAAGTGAATAGTGGGAGGTAGAACAAAAGGTTCTGGGCAAGGAATCATTTGAAGCAGATTCATATTTATTTATTTTTGAATGCACATTGACTTATTGAACTATAAAACTGCTGATATAGTGCTCAACAGATTTTTTTTCTCACAGATCTAACAAGAAGTATTATTTTAGGCATTGCCAAATATAGAGAGGAAATATATATGTCCAATCAATGAAAAAAGCTTAAGATTTCTATAGACTTTAAAAGTAGGGTCATCTAGTGATGACCCTACTTTCAATCAATCAATGAACCCAGAAAACAAGAAAGAAAAGGGGAGAATAAGAAAAAAGGACACAAAGTCTTGCTTACTGTAAATTTCGACCCTGTCGTTATACCAGCATCATAACCCAGACATTTTCTTCAAAGAATAGTTCTTAAAGGGAAAAATGGTTCTATACTGCTGGGCTCTGCATCTCTTTCTGGGAACTCAAATATTGAGGACTTATTGCTAGTGTTATTTTCCTGCTGTTTAAAATTACTCTATAGTTGCTATTTTAATTATAGTGCTTCACATAAAATTACAGGTATTATTTTCTCACTATAAATTACCTTCTGGATTAATTTGACTGAAATGTAAGGAAAACAAATTAAAAGTTCAGTTTGCTCTCTCTCTCTCTCACTCTTGTGCTTTCTGTATTATGTTTGTATGCTACTCAATCAAATAATCTGTGGATAGGTAACATAAGTTATTTAAATTGGCTCTATGCAAAGAAAGGAAGCTTTAATTTGGTTCCAACACAGCATTGTGATAGATTGCCATGAATAGCTACTAAACTGTGTTTACCAGCTTCTGGAGAGAATGACATCCCATACCTCTAACATGGCCAATTCTTCACCCTTGTGCAGGATACGAAATGAATAGACGTGGTCAGGGCTTGGGTCTGGGATGATTTCACATCCCATCAAGTTCAAAGCTGGTTGAGCTGCCTTGTTTCTGTTTTTGTCCTGGTAGAAGTGGAGCTGGCCATCCTTCACATGGCACCAGTAGGATTTCCATTGGCTGTTCACCAGTACATTTAAATATGCTGTGAAGAAAGAAATGCTGTTTTCATAATATGTTCTTTCTTAATGGAGCCCAGAATACTTTTTCAATACCCTCTAGAGATGATCTGTTGTCAGTGGGCAAGAATAGGCTAATATACATAATTTTATTGTTCTACGCAGAGTGCTAAATTAAGAGATCTCTAATATTGCTTCCAACCCTACAACACAATGAATATGTTAGCCACGCCACCATACAAACTGAGATCCAAATTCTGATATTTAAAAGCACCTATTGTAACTAATTAATTGATAAAACCACAGCCATCACCATCCACTGTCCAACCTCCAACCAAATACAACCCATGCTATATAAATAAGTTATCGCTCAATGGTCAAAATTGGATTACATTTTGAGCAAAAATAACATCAAGAAGAATCCTAGAATGACTCTCAGCATTGTCCCAAAGGTATTGCTATACCTTCTATGGATTTTTACAAGATCTAAAAGAGCACTGGAAGCATGATTTCTATTATTTTCAAGTCACAGTGGCTATACTATAGTTCTTTTCTGCATCATTCTCTAGGATTGTCTTCCCTGCAGGTAGCAGAAATTCAAGGATGTGCATTTCTTAAAAGTTACTTACTGCAGGTATCCAAAGATCTTTCTGGATTGTCCATGGAGGAAGACTTCTTTCTCCCAAGATTCATCAGGTTGCTAAATTTTAACCCAGGTGTGCATTTCTTCTTAGCTAAAGTTTTAAAAGCTACATATTAAATTTTGTTGCTGAAGAAAATGATTATTATAAAATGGGATGCAATTTCATATATGACCCATCTTCACAACAGTATGAAGAATACTTGCATATCCAAACCAGTATTAGATAATCCAAGATTTTAAAAAACAAGCAAGGTGTTTTGCTATTTTCTGAATGTGAAGCTTGTTTCTTACAGGGGCCATAAGGAACCAGACATTTTCCTTCTTGGAAATACTTGAAGGGATGCAAAGAGTTACAGAAATGATAACCTACTTACGTGCCTGAAGATATTTAGCTGTTCTTGACTGAGTGATATTGCCTTGATAATTATGAAATATGCACTTGTAGAGGCAAGTATTCAAAAAGGGAGGTATGAAACGTACACTTGTGTTGTTGGAAAAAATGCCTCCTATTTTAAGTCAGCTTGGAACAAAACAAAGCTTGTTTTTCATACCATTTCTTTCCTGCTGTCACTGGAACCATTGTAAGGTAGGTTGGATAGGACGTAAGTAACAGCACTGCACACCAAATGTGTAGGTTGTCCTTTTTAACCTACTAAAAATATGCTGATGTGACTGTTGAGACATGCTTATAACTTTCTGCTGGGATTGCATAGGTTCTCCCTCAAAGTTGTATGAAAGTATCACCTAGCAGCTCTTGGGCCGGCAGAAAAGTATTCTAGCAAGTATTCTGCTGACCCTATTGACAACAGGAATGTCAAACCCGGTCGCATCATGGGATGTATCGTCAAATATCAGGATTGGTTTTGCTCTTGTGGAGCTGGGGTGGGCATGGCCTGGATGGGCTGTATCTGGTCCAGTTTCACACCTCTGTGCTACAATAATGAGGTCATGAATTGGCGAGGTCCTTGTTTATGGTGGCCAAAGTAGGGAACAGAAATAGTGGGTCCTGCAAATTTATCTCCCACCCATTAAGTATTTAACCCTCTCTTACCCTTTCTGATCCCCATAGGATAGGATGGGCCAAAGTTAGTAGGATTAGCAACTAGTGGCAGGGGCTCCATCCAGAGAGACTTTACTCCACACAACTTTTTCTGCCTGTCAGTTATTCTCAAGCTATTTCTGTGTATGGCTATATCTGGGTTCTAAAATATTGAAAGATAATAGCACAGAGGAGGAGCACAGGGGTAATATTTGATAGCTGTTCAGCAGGATATTTTGCGTGCAGAAATAATGCTCTTTTGAAACAGCATTAATCCTTATTTAAAACAAAAATCATCAGCAAATCATAGTTTAAAAGCACAGAGGGACATTGGTATTGGTATTTATTCGATTTGTAGGCCGCCCTATTCCCCGAAGGGACTCAGGACGGCTGAACAAAAAACCAAGGGAAGGGGAACAAATACAGAAAAGTCAAACAGGACAGTGATACAACAATTTAAAAAAACACAGCAAGCACAACAGTTCGAGTAGAGGGGGGGGGGACTCAACCCCAGGCTTGCTGGGACAACCAGGTCTTAACGGCTGTCCAGAAGGCCTGAAGGGTGGCGAGGGTCCGAATCTCCACGGGGAGCTCGTTCCAAAGGGCCGGAGCAGCCACAGAGAAGGCCCTCCTCCGGGTGGTTGACAGCCGGCATTGGCCGGCAGATGGAATTTGGAGGAGGCCTAATCTGTGGGATCTGATGGGTCTATGGGAGGTAAACGGCAGGAGGCGGTCTCTCAAGTACCCAGGTCCAATACCATGTAGGGCTTTATAAGTGATGACTAGCATCTTGAAGCGTATCCAGAGACCAATAGGAAGCCAGTGCAGCTTGCGGAGGATAGATGTAACGAGGCGCACCCACAATCGCTCGCGCGGCTGCATTCTGGACCAGCTGAAGTCTCCGAACACTCTTCAAGGGCTGCCCCATGTAGCACCAACCAGGGACAGGGAGCCATAGCAGAGGGATGAAAGAGCCATATGCAGCTCCAGAGTCGCGGGTTGCTGACGACCCCTGGCCTAGGAAATCCTGGTTAAGCAGGGGGTTGGACTAGATGAACTGCAAGGTTCCTTCCAAGTCTGTTATTCTGTCTCTCAGCCCAAACACAGAGGAC